GAAACCATAATTGAAACACCGTTTGAGGGTCAATGTACACAATGTTCAAAACATTAATCATGTCGCACAGACAGACACACATACACAACAGAGTTAATGTCACACGGGAACAGGAAATGTCAGTATCGGTTGTGACCACCATGTGCATCAATTACCGCTTGACACTGACGACCCATAGATGCAGTCAAGTTGTGAATAACACGCTGTGGAATGTGCTGCCATTCATGCTGAAGTGCCACAAGAAGCGTCGGAAGTGTTTGTTGTGGTGGAGTCCTTCTGCGCATGTGTCGATCCAACTCGTCCCACAGATGCTCAATCGGGGACAAATCTGGTGACTGCGCTGGACAAGGTAATGTCTGGATGTTGTTGCGCTGTAGAAAGTCCTGACAAACACGTGCAATATGCGGTCGAGCGTGGAATTGCCCACCGTGAACGTTGAAGTGAGGCAGAATGTAAGGCTGTAGGATCAAGTCTCTGTAACGCACACCTGTCAATGTACCTGCCACATGCACGAGATGCGTCCTACCACCCTGATGAATTCCGGCCCATACCATGACACTCCCGCCGCCAAATGGGACAACCTGCTGCACACAGTTGGGGGTGTAACGTTCATCCTGACATCTGTAGACACGTGTGTGCCCATCAGCATGTGTGAGTAGAAAACTCATCAGTGAACAGTTCATTTCTCCACCTTGTACATGCCCATCTCACCCTCTGTTGACACCAATGCAGACGGTCTGCCAGATTATGTGGGGTCAATACATGACGTCGAACAGGTCTTCGTGCAAAAAGTGGTTTGTGTGGTTGTAGACATTGCTGTGGTAGTGCGTTCTCATAGGTGTCGCAGCCAGATGTATCGATCTCGTGCTGGCGTTGTCACCCTTGGTCTCCCTGACCTTGATCTGTCATCAACTCTGTTGGTGTTGTTGTACCGGGTCAATAATGTAGAGATTGTCTGTTGGGATACGCCAAGGTGCCTGGCAACATTTTGCTGAGTTGCTCCAGCTTGTAATCTGCCAATGGCGTCGTGACGTTGAGCTGTATTCAGTCTTGGCATTCTGTCACCGCGTCTACTGTTGTTTTAAGGTCTGTTTGAACGCCCGTGGATGTGGTTTTTTATACCCCTTTAGCAGGGGTGCATGCATGCATAAATGCAGGATCCTGTGCTGCACGTTTTTTACAGCCGGTTGCGTTTGGATGAATCTGTAAAATTTATCCTCAAACACTACGTTTATGTGGTTTGGATGTGTTTCCGCGAATTATGGAAACATCATCCTTCTGTTTGACTAATTCTAATCATATTTCATTTAATGATTTTGGATATTTTGAGAAAAGTGGTATTACATCTGTCAGGTTTCTTTTTTTGAAGAGTATATATCAATAAGACAAAAGTTATGTTTACATAGTTTTATAGATTGCCTTGAACTAATTTATTTAAGTAAATCTGTCATCACCTACATTAGAATAACATTCAGCAATTACTTCAATTTAGACTCATTAAGGATTAGCCCCATACAAGCTTGTCTATAGTGATACCATAATCTCTTTCCAAGCACCCAGTAAATATGTCAACAAGATTAGTGCCAGTCCAACAGGATTAAGTATTCCCCTCTGTCTAACCATTCATTAACCACAGGGCACACCCCATTGTGTATCAACCAGTCGTATTCCTTTTTATGGTTCTAAGTTTTGTTGAATACATACAGAAGCAAAATGTTAAGCAGACTTTCAGACTCATAAAGTGGGCTCCAGGCCATAAAAAAACAACACAAAATAGCGTTGAAACCTAATACAACAGATAATTAAAAGCGCCAACAATCTACGTAAACTAGGTAAAGACTTAGAAATTGTTTGGATCCCTGCCAACGTTGGAGTGTTTGGCAACGAACACACAGACAAAGCAGACAAATCAGCAGTAAAATTTTAAGAAGTAAGCATCAACCTACCAATATAAAAAAACAAAAATTAAAAGTATCACAAAGGAGAATCTTCCAAAAGTGGCAAAATAACTACCGTATTCAACGTAATAAGCGCCCAGGGCGCTCTCAAAATTAGAAATAGGGGGCTCTTATTAAAAATTTAAAGGATAAATTTTGAGGTTTATGCTGACAGCCTGAAATGTTTATATACGACAGATATATTTTTCCAGAATTTAATTGCCCATAATTAAGGGTGCATATAACACACGAGTGCGTATTATACGCGAATCAATAAGTCTTGTGTACATTGATCAATTGGAAGGGGTGCTAATTGGGATTGTTCACTAGCCAATATATTAGCAAATATCGCTGTGGGCGCTTATTAGAGTGGGGCGCTTATTACATCGAATACAGTATCAGAAATCTGATTGCAAACTAAAACACCTGCTACAAAAGCCACTCAAAAAACCAAAGATCCATCATAAAACCAAAAAAATTGACAGAGTAATAACTAAACTACAAACAGGCCACACTAAGTTAAACTCCCACCTACACCAAATTAAAAAACACCAAACGGGTAAATGCCCCCACTGCAAATTAAAAGAAACGCCTGAACATGAAATACTTTATTGCACACATTACCAGCAACACAGAACAACACTCCAATCCACACTAAATTGTAACAATCAAATGACACTAGCAACGGTACTTAACCCCCTAAATGACTTACAAACCTTTATAGCACTAGGCATATATCTAAGTATATCTAATCCAAACAGGCCTCTGCAGCCGCATTTAAAAAATTACAACAAACCCACCTAGGTTGCCTCACCTTTTAGGACATACCCTTTTCGGCCAAACACTAAATGGCCTAGGGGGCCCGTGCGCGAAATATGCATATGTCAGAAAGCGCACGTTAAATTCCCAATTTAAGTACATAAGTTATGTTATATAAGCAGAAGGGCTATGATGCTCATACCAAGCTGACCTCTCTCCCACAACCCAGAGGGTTGTACCAACTCTCTGTGGCACCCTCAGCTATATTTAAGAAATTGTTCATTGTTAATTGTTCTTTTCTGGAAATATAATTGTGATTAGTCTCCTGTGACTCCGACTCTTTGCTGACTAATTCCCCCAAGGAAACCAGCACGCCATTTGGAAGGTTTTGTACATCAGAACAGAACCATAATAACATTATGAAGTAATGCAGTATAAATATACAAAAATATATAAAATATACTCAACAACAAAAGTTCCTGTGACACCAATATTTTAGTCTATTTTTCAAACAAGTAAACTTGGTTTTCAATATTGCAGTACATGTATGGAATCAAGTCACCAAAACGCAACTGCTACAGAAAAGCATGCATTCCATGCAAAAGTTGACTTTTATGCAAGCCCCATGCATTTCACTACCCAAGAATGAGTATAAAAACGTGCGTTAACGGGATTCCATATGCATTGTTTTGCATCGTGCTGATAACAACCACTCAGTAAAACAACAAAATTACGCAATTATCAAACATTACGAAATGCCACGCCTGTCCGAAAATGAGTGTCTGTGAGCCATTGGTGTGCTTGAAGCAGGATCGAGTCAACGTGATGTTGCAAGACAATTTAATGTCCACAGAAACACCATTTGTTGTTTATGGCAACGTTGGCAACAGACGAATGCAGTCAGAGACCATCCTCGGAGTGGCAGGCCACGTGTAACTAATAATCGACAAGACAACTGGATTCGAACAACACACCTACGAAATCGATTCCAGCCAGCATCAGTGACTGCAGGAAGCATCCCTGGCCTTGGACGAATATCTTCACAAACTGTACATCGTCGCCTCAGATGTGCAGGGATTGCCGCCAGAAGACCCGCCAGACGTCCCATTTTGACAGGAAACCACCGTCAAGCGTGTCTACAGTGGTGCAGACAGTGTCTACGCTGGACGGCCATGCAGTGGGAACAAGTTCTATTCACTGACGAGTCTAGTTTTCACCTCAGCCACAGCGATGGACGGATTCGAGTGTACCGACGTCGAGGTGAACGTTACATCAATCATTGTTTCATCGGTTCGGGGGTGGCAGCTTTATGGTATGGGGTGGGATTACAGCAAGACAGAGGACCCGTTTGATAGTGGTAGAGGGAAATCTCAATGGACAGCGCTACTGCTACGAGATCATCGGCCCTGTTGTTCTACCGTTTTTGCGTCGTCATGGCCCAGGCATTACCTTTCAACATGACAACGCCCGGCCTCATATTGCTCGACTTGTTCAGTATTCTCTTCAACAAAACAACGTGAATGTCATCCCCTGGCCGGCTCGCTCCACTGATTTCACACCAATCGAGCACATCAGGGATGAGAAGGGTTTTTAACATTTTTTAGTTTGTTAATTTCGACCACCAACCCTACAATTTGGAGGAAAAACATCTGCTAAGCAAATGAGCCCTCTTATGCAAGTACAGTCCTTCCTCTTTATAATGCCACTCTTTCCTCCAGCAGAAAATATGTCATTATATCCAGGGAGGTGAAAAACAGACCTAACTGACATGATATATGGAAGATTAAATAAGAACCAAGACACATCCATTCAATCAATGCTATAGTGACCATTGTCAAAAAAAAATTAATTTAAGAGAAAGCTTACTTCAGGTCTCTGTCAAGAAGACATATTATTATGAATAAGTCGACTACGAAGGACTGAATAACAACATAATAGGCATAAACAGGAAAAGGATTATAAATGATGTTGATTATGTCGACAAAATAGTTTTTAAAAATAGTAGAGTTCGAAAGAATATGGATTGACAGATATATACCCAGCCAATGAGTGACTCTCTGACCCCATTATAACCATGGATGAATACCGACATTCAGACCCAAATTTGTAAATGTAATATTAAGACATAGCATAGCAAAAAGAGGTAACCAAGGCTCTGCTAGGGCATGTTTTCGACATCAGTGTATGACATTCAGCACTACTGTTTGTGGTGGGTTGTTTCTCCAGAACTGTGCCTGGTATCTTACTTCCTGGAGAAGGGATAGAATCTGTCAGATCATAACTCTTGTTCATTTGGATTTTCAGGCAGCCAATGGCGTTCCAGCACTCTTGATATACAGAAACAAAGAATTGATAGGAAACTACATCCGACTGTCAGATGAATTTGGAGAGGATTTTTTTGCTTCGGATATAGAGAGCTTTTTGCAAGAGTATGTATCTTAATCATGCAAGGTGGACAAATTTTGTCACATATTTGAATTACAACATATATTTTGTATTACTAGGTCCATTGCCTAAGTGATTCATTCAAAATGTTTTATTGAAGCAATGCAAGAGCTTTTAACAGTATGATTAAAACTTTATATTCAAAACATCAAATTTACTTCATAGAGAATGATCTGCACATTCTAGGAATTGCAGATTATCTATACTCATTGAGTGAGAGATGTAAACCTCAGTGAGGAACATATTCACTCACATGATATACTATAGGAACATATTCACTCACATGATATACTATAGGAACATATTCACTCACATGATATACTATAGGAAAATATTCACTCACATTATATACTATAGGAACATATTCACTCACATCATATACTATAGGAACATATTCACTCACATGATATACTATAGGCACATATTCACTCACATGATATACTATAGGAACATATTCACTCACATGACATACTGTGGGAAAATATTCACTCACATGATATACTATAGGCACATATTCACTCACATGATATACTATAGGAAAATATTCACTCACATTATATACTATAGGAACATATTCACTCACATGATATACTATAGGAACATATTCACTCACATGATATACTATAGGCACATATTCACTCACATGATATACTTTAGGAACATATTCGCTCACATGATATAATATAGGAACATATTCACTCACATGATATACTATAGGAACATATTCACTCACATGATATACTATAGGAAAATATTCAATCTCATGATATACATTAGGAACATATTCACTCACATGATATACTATGGGAACATATTCTCTTACATGATATACTATAGGAACATATTCACTCACATGATATACTATAGGCACATATTCACTCACATGATATACTTTAGGAACATATTCACTCACATGATATACTTTAGGAACATATTCACTCACATGATATACTATAGGAACATATTCACTCACATGATATACTATAGGAACATATTCACTCACATGATATTCTTTAGGAACATATTCACTCACATGATATACTATAGGAACATATTCACTCACATGATATACTATAGGAACATATTCATTCACATGATATACTATAGCAACATATTCACTCACATGATGTACTTTAAGCACATATTCACTCACATGATATACTATAGGAACATATTCACTCACATGATATACTATAGGAACATATTCACTCATATGATATAATATAGGAACATATTCACTCACATGATATACTATAGGAACATATTCACTCACATGATATACTTTAAGCACATATTCACTCACATGATATACTATAGGAAAATATTCACTCACATGATATACTTTAGGAACATATTCACTCACATGATATACTTTAGGCACATATTCACTCACATGATATACTATAGGAACATATTCACTCACATGATATACTATAGGAAAATATTCAATCTCATGATATACATTAGGAACATATTCACTCACATGATATACTATAGGAACATATTCTCTTACATGATATACTATAGGAACATATTCACTCACATGATATACTATAGGCACATATTCACTCACATGATATACTTTAGGAACATATTCACTCACATGATATACTTTAGGAACATATTCACTCACATGATATACTATAGGAACATATTCACTCACATGATATACTATAGGAACATATTCACTCACATGATATACTATAGGAACATATTCACTCACATGATATACTTTAGGCACATATTCACTCACATGATATACTATAGGAACATATTCACTCACATGATATACTATAGGAACATATTCACTCACATGATATACTTTAGGCACATATTCACTCACATGATATACTATAGGAACATATTCACTCACATGATATACTATAGGAACATATTCACTCACATGATATACTATAGGAACATATTCACTCACATGATATACTATAGGAACATATTCACTCACATGATATACTATAGGAAAATATTCACTCACATGATATACTTTAGGCACATATCACTCACATGATATACTATAGGAACATTCACTCACATCATATTCTTTGGGAACATATTCACTCACATGATAAACTATAGGAACATATTCACTCACATGATATACTATAGGAACATATTCACTCACATGATATACTTTGGGCACATATTCACTCACATGATATAATATAGGAACATATTTACTCACATGATATACTATAGGAACATATTCACTCAAATGATGTACTTTAAGCACATATTCACTCACATGATATAATATAGGAACATATTCACTCACATGATATACTATAGGAACATATTCACTCACATGATATACTATAGGAACATATTCACTCACATGATATACTATAGGAACATATTCACTCACATGATATACTATAGGAACATATTCACCAACATGATATACTATAGGAAAATATTCACTCACATGATATACTTTAGGAACATTTTCACTCACATGATATACTATAGGAACATATTCACTCACATGATATACTATAGGAACATATTCACTCACATGACATACTATAGGAAAATATTCACTCACATGATATACTATAGGAACATATTCACTCACATGATATACTATAGGAACATATTCACTCACATGATATAATATAGGAACATATTCACTCACATGATATACTATAGGAACATATTCACTCACATGATGTACTTTAAGCACATATTCACTCACATGATATACTATAGGAACATATTCACTCACATGATATGCTATAGGAACATATTCACTCACATGATATACTTTAAGCACATATTCACTCACATGGTATACTATAGGAACATATTCAATCTCATGATATACTTTAGGAACATATTCACTCACATGATATACTATAGGAACATATTCACTCACATGATATACTATAGGAACATATTCACTCACATGATATACTATAGGAACATATTCACTCACATGATATACTATAGGAACATATTCACCAACATGATATACTATAGGAAAATATTCACTCACTTGATATACTTTAGGAACATTTTCACTCACATGATATACTATAGGAACATATTCACTCACATGATATACTATAGGAACATATTCACTCACATGATATACTATAGGAACATATTCACTCACATGATATACTTTAGGCACATATTCAATCACATGATATACTATAGGAACATATTCAATCACATGATATAATATAGGCACATATTCACTCACATGATATACTATAGGAACATATTCACTCACATGATATACTTTAGGCACATATTAACTCACATGATATACTATAGGGACATATTCACTCACATGATATACTATAGAAACATATTCACTCACATGATATACTTTAGGAACATATTCCCTCACATGATATACTATAGGAACATATTCACTCACATGATATACTATAGGAACATATTCACTCACATGATATACTTTAGGCACATATTCAATCACATGATATACTATAGGAACATATTCAATCACATGATATAATATAGGCACATATTCACTCACATGATATACTATAGGAACATATTCACACACATGATATACTTTAGGCACATATTAACTCACATGATATACTATAGGGACATATTCACTCACATGATATAATATAGGCACATATTCACTCACATGATATTCTAAGGGTTCCAAGTCCGAAAAAACATGCTCCCTCTGCCACAGACACATGTGACAGCCATGGCAGTAGCTCTGAAAGGTTATGAATCACCAGCCTTCTACAGTTATTCAGCACAGTCATCGTGCTGCTCAACCTAAACCCAGCACGAACAGCCTTGGGGGTACTACCGGGAGCTAAGGGCTCTTCTCATGATGAAACCAGTACGGTCACATTTAAGCAAAATGACTATTCACTTAAAGACATCATTTATGAAATCTATCAGCTGATTCCTTGTGTCAAACCACAAAGCAATGATGAAGCTTAACCGGTGCTTATTGAGCAGGTGGGTTATGAAGGTTTTCATACATTTCCTTATACGTCATTCACTGAAAATGTGGTCACTAAAATGAATGTGGAAATACTTCTACCTGCAGAAATTTCAGCCTGCCCTTTCCTCACAAAGGGAGACATTGCTATAAGACACACAATTGCCCGTTTTACACGTCTCCTACCATCGACAAGGAATTTCTTTATCTGGTCAAACATCAAAGATGAATGTTGAGATGAATAAATTCAAAGAATTTTGCTGGTTTGCATGTACTTCCATCTGTCAACAGTGAGGAATTAGCAGGTCAACTAAGTGACACCAAAGTAAATATGAATCTGGAACAGATCAATTTTATCAACAGTGTGCTGGACAGCTTTCTTCAGATGTCTGAAGATCTTCAATGTGCACAGGTATGGATGTCCACACAATTTCTGCTTACACAATGCAACCATCTCATTCAACAAGGCAGGCACAATATTTCATACCCACTTAGGCACAGCTTGATGTCTCAGTTGATATTGGCCCCCAGTTCTTCAACAGCAGACTAACTTCTGTGATTGACGAGATTTCACGTTCCACAAATCAGAAATTCCAGAATGTCCATGGCATCGAGGTTCAATGAAAAGCACACGGCAGATACCCAGAGTCACATGGACCCTCCTAAATGCAGACATGTCATGTCGGGACGTGAGTCTTTTCATGCCTCTACTTGAAAAATATGTCATCCCTTTCCAGACCAAGTTGAGGGAGGTATGAGTCTCAAAGAGGCAGAGGTCATGGTAGATCCTATACCAGAGGGAGAGCCATCGTTCATGACTCAATAAATCCACCAGAAATCACTCGGCCCATTATTATCTGTCACTATACACCAAAAATTGGAAGTGAATTACAGATAACCATTAGCTGCTTAAAGTGGTAAAAAGAGGATACATACTGCATTTCCAACAGCGTCTTGAGCTTGTAGTCCACCTCCAAAGGACGCCAATTTCATCTAGTAGGGGCAGCAAAGTTAGTGGCTACAAGCTTCAAATTTGCTCATGATAATAGACCTAAAGGTATTCAATAGAGATAACCTGGTACGTCCCCCAAAGTTTCAAATGGAGTTAGTCAAAATGCTACGCAACTCTCTCAGACAGGTAGATTGGCTAGTCAGCATCATCAGCTTCGCTCATCTAAGTCTTGTAAGTCTCCACAACGATTTCCTCTAAGCCGATGAAGACAAATTGCAGATAAAGCAGAACGCAATATTTCTTATTCAACTCCTATCACATTTGGGTCTCCTGGTACATCCCATCCACTTGGAATTAAAAATTACTCAAGACATAGGGGCGAGGTTTCAGCTTTCAAGAGGTATCTTAAAACCTCCAGAGGACAGACATCTAACAGCAAGAGAGATGATCCAAAATGAGATGACCAACTCAGCAGGTCACGTCGTAATGTTATGCCAGGAATCCCTCTCGTATTTCTTCCTCCGGTACATCACCTAAACAAAGACGCATCAGGCCAAAGGTTGGGGTATGCATTCGGACGACGTCATAGTCCAAGGAGTGTGGTCAAACCAAGACTAAAAGTTACATATAAATTGTCTGGAAATGAGAGCCAGTATCCAAGCAATCAAAGCATGGACTCGTCTGCTGCACCACTCATCAGTACTGATAGCCACAGACAACACTGTAGTGGTAGCTTACATACAACATCAAGGTGGCACCAGGTAACCTGAACATACTTGAAGACTGCCTATCCTGGAACTCAAGATTGTACCCACTGAATAGACCCTCCATCTCGAGGTAATCAAATGGATCACCTAAACATGGGATACTCCTCATCTGGATCTGTTTGCCACATGCCTAAACCATCGACTTCATGTTTAAGTCAGCCCAGTCCCAGAACCATTAGCCCTCCAGGTCGATGCCCTATCCATGAGTTGGCTAGATGTTCACATTCCAACCTTGGTCTCTCCAAGACAGAGTAAAAGAAAGATTGCGTCATAATTCTGATAGCCCCGTCATGGCCCAACAGAGTGTGGTTTCCAAAACTGCTACCAATACTCATAGAGGAACCTTTCAGAATACCAGAACTTCACGATCTTCTCCGACAACCAAAAGCAGATGTATTTTACGGCAACCTCATCAATCTCCACCTTCAAACCTGGAAACTATCATGGCAAAGGTGCAAGTCTCTGGTTTCTCTAAATCAGCTTCAGAAGCCGTGGCTAGCTCATGGAGACCAGCTTCCTCAGGTTTCTTTGAAGTCAGGTGGAGAAAGTTCTGCAAATGGTGAACAGGTTTGCAAGACGAGACTATAACAATACCTACAGTGGCTGATTTCTTACTTCACCTGAGAAATGAGAAGAAATTCAGACATGGCACTATTGAAGGCTATAGATCAGCACTTTCCTCACTTCTGCAACATGATGGACTATCCGTAGGTACTCATCCAGTATTAAATCAACTCATGAAGTCATTTTCTCTGCAGGTTGGTATAGTCCCACGCACTTTCCCAAAATGGAACTTGCCTATCCTACTGTCCGCCCTGATAGAAGCACTATACGAGCCAATGACAGAGGCTACACTTTTAACAGCTTAAAAAAAGACAGCCTTACTCTTACCATTAGCTACAGCTGCCTGAGTGCTTGAGCTTCACACAATTGATATCTCTTCAATTAAGCATACATAGGACTGGAGCACGAAATATCCTTCAGATCCCTACTGGTATTTATCGCCAAAAAACAGTCATCAGCATTTGGGCCACCAGGACATAAACAATACACTATTCCATCTTTGAGCAAAACAGTGGATCATTCAGACAGGCTATTATGCCCAAACAGTGTTACCATATCACAGCTACCCAAAACCACAGAAAAAGGAAAAAATGCCAAAATGTTTACTACTTTCTACCTTAGAGACGTGCATCACAATCTTGATGGACTATGCTCCCTTGGCCCCTTGGTGGCTGCCCAGGCTATAGTCACTTAGTAGCCTTTCCAACCCCCTTTTCTTTTGAAGAAGCAGGGCCTGGGTGGGGTGGGTGGGCTGAAGATCCCAGAAAATACCACAAAATGAGGTGACTTAGCCTTGTCAACTAGGTTGGGCAAATGATAGTTTAACATCTGGGATCATAGATCCTAGGTGATATGGTTATTACATCGTCTCTCAGCGTAACATGTGTAGCTACTTCTGGTGTCGTCAAGGAAGACTTCAGAACCGGAATTAACATCAATATTATGTAAAGATCACTAACATACAACAGGGGATACATCATCAGAAGGAATGTACATCATTATCAAACCTAAGGTGAGGTGACATGTATATGTATATGTAGATGCAACATGTATATGTCTAACAGTCACAATGAATTATTAACCGGAAGTGGCGTCATAGATGGCCTCAGAACCGGTAGTGACTTCATAAATGACCCAAGTGATGTCAATAAAGGAGAATGAACCAAAAGTGACGTCATAGAGGTCTTCAGATGTCATGAAAACAACATGAACAACATTACACAAAAACATTCCAAGTATTCCTAATTAAATCTAGTATGAAAAAAAAAAAAAATATATGTCGATATTCAGATAGGTTCATTTTGTAGGAGACTGACTGATTGTCATCAATTTGCAGAGTGTCATCTATGGGCACGTTGGTTAAGAGGTCAACAACATTGTTACTGATGATTTGATTTGGCTTTGATGTTCTTGAGTTTGGAGCAGGAGTCTGAGCTCAAGGAATCAGCTGAATTAAAAGCATTGAGATTTATCAACGCCTCTGTAGTCCAGTGGTTCACTCACTAGGTTCACTCTGTCATCTAGTGGTTCACTCACTAGGTTCACTCTGTCATCTAGTGGTTCACTCACTAGGTTCACTCTGTCATCTAGTGGTTCACTCACTAGGTTCACTCTGTCATCTAGTGGTTCACTCACTTGGCTACAGATATGAAGGTTAAAAGTTTGATCCACTTAAATATAAAGAAAACATTTGCAGCTTGATTTTACATCATTCGCTCATTTACTTATGATTATTGTGTTCAAATGCAAAGTAAATCTCTTGCACGGTACAATAGCATGTTACAATTTCACCAGAACTTGCATATTCTACTCAACGTTTGCTAAGGATCACCACTTTAAGAGGGAAACTGTCATCTTGTGTGCATCTGTTGAAATAGCCAACGTGAAGACATGTTAAAAGAACAAAAACCTGTTATCATGAGCCACACAATGATGGTTTTCAATGAGAATGTATAAGTTGTAGTTATAATCACTGAAATACAAATAATCACTGGGCTGTTTTCTTCTTCTTTTTCAGACACGGTATGCTTCCAGCTGAAGAAATATTAGGTGGCGTTCGGGATAAAATTACTGGGGAACTCTGCTTACCTTTGTCACAAGGCAATGACAGTGGCAGTGACTTTGAGATTGATTGATTTTGCCCAAGTAAAATATTTGTTTGTTAGAGGTCTAACTCTAGAAAAGCATTCACCAGGCAAACATTCTTTGGTAAGATTATGTGATTTGAATTTTAGCAGATGCCAATTTCATATCATTTATAAACACCATTGCTAGAATTGATTTGAGCTTCATAGGTATATTTCCAAATGATACATGACAAGAGGAATATACTTTCGACCGGCACATATTATGTAAACCATTTTTGGTACAATAGGTATAAAACGCAGTGATTAAATAGTGATTTGTTATGAATCAGAAAATTGCCAACCAAAAGTATTTAATCAATTTGTTATGGCCTTATAATAACATGAACAAAATGTTGTAGAAATGTGCAAACACTGTGCGAAGTAGTTGTTGTTCAACATCGTTGATAGTATGTGGTTTGTAATGCTCCCATGCTATGTTTCCAAAGTTTATTAGGCATGTCAGACACGCAGAAGAAATTACACATCTTGTTGGCATATCTGCCATACTTTTGGAAGTTCAGGAAGAGGCAATAATGGCGCAGCGTTAATTGTTGTTCTCAGACAAGTATATTTTCATGAGGATTAGTTTTGTGACATTCAAAATTGAAAGTTCATATTTTGTGAAATGATTAGAAACAATGTAACAAATAAGGCAATCTCAGAAGCAATTAGGTACAGAGTGAAAACTGTGTGAAGACAACTTGACTGAAATATTGCATGTAATGCCTGATGAAGGAGCAAGTAAATACTCTTAAACGTTGTGTTCCTCATAATAAAGAAGTTGACATCCGTATACTCTCTCTCTTATGTGTATCACTTCTGAATGTCATTCAGAGATTTGATGTTGTTACTTATTTGTCTATATATTCATCACATTTTGCCTATATTAACCCTGTCCTGGTGCTCAGGAGTATTGTCTCCCCACAGTCACTAGCATCAGGTAGTACGGTAATCATTGGACAGGGCTTACCAGTTCTACAATATGCTTATCTAATCATGGCAGTATTCCATGTGTTCATCTACACTAGTGTAGTCAGTTGTGAATACAGCATGCAACACAATCATTGACATTTGATCCCAAACTTAGGATGAATTGATTCTGGACCAGGTACACACAATGTTCCTAAATCACAAATATATAATACATTGCGTACTTTCTCGAGTTGTCTAAAACAGACACACACATATTTTTATTAGTCTCACCACAGTCATTGTGACAGAAAAGAATAAAACCAAAAGCTGATCAGCAGCTGTATAAAACACTTATCATAGCAAGTTTTCATAATACATGTAAAAGGACATAAAATATACACATGAGCATTAATGAAGTACCTAATCCAATTCCGAAATAATAATGACAAGCAATGGACCCCTAACTTGTCAGCATGTTGTATAAATGTACTGCCGCGAGTGAGAGACATTTCGTAATGTTGAATAACTGTGTAATTTTGTTGTTTTTCTGTTGTCAGCACGATGCTAAACAATGCATATGGAATCCCGTTAACGCACGTTTTTATACCCATTCTTGGGTATTGATATGCATGGGGCTTGCATAAAAGTCAACTTTTGCATGGAATGCATGCTTTTCTGTAGCAGTTGAGTAGTATAGGTGATGGGGGTTCTGGACCACTTCCACTGTAGCTGTATTTTTATACCTATACTGCTACTACAGAGGGAATTTTTTATGCCAAAATGAATTATGTGATTTAACGATAGTCATGAGATTAAGTTAAATTGGCTCCAGTTCACCACCACCTGGGGCCAATGATATAAATTTTTTATAGGTAATAAGGGTTCCAGCTCACTTCCACTGGAGCTGGATTTATATTAAACGAAATATCAATATTAATTAATAATGGATAAAATTTACTATAGCCCACGAGGATATTGGAAAGGTGTAGGAGCAATAAAAAAATTAGCCACCGCGGCTAAGGTATCTAAAGATGTGGCCAAGGATTGGTTAAAGAAACAAGCGATGTGGCAAATATATTTACCGGCACCGCGTTATATACCGAGGAAGAAGTTTGATATTTTTACGACGAATGAAGTTCATCAGGCTGACCTCTTGTTTCTTCCCCACGATAAGGTAAAACGCAAAACGTATAAATACGCTTTAACAGTAGTGGATGTGGCTAGTCGATACAAAGAGGCTGAGCCATTAACATCGAAAGAATCAACAGAGGTAGCTAATGCACTGAGTCGCATATATAAACGCGGACCGCTAAAATGGCCTAAGCTATTTCAAGTAGATCCCGGTTGCGAGTTTATGGGATCGGTAACTAAACTGTTAACAAAGAACGATGTCAAAATCGTCCGTGGTGAAAGAGAGGCCCACCGCAGTCAAGCTATCGTCGAAAGATTTAACAGGACATTAGCGGAACGTTTGTTTGGCTATCAGTATGGGATCGAAATGAAATCCGAGCGATTGAGATCAACCGAATGGGTGACACGATTATCAGCCGTTGTATCAGCGTTGAATAATGAAGTAACGAGATTAATAGGGAAGAAACCATCCGATGCTATTAAAATGAAATCCGTGACTTCCAAATCTTCAGCACCGAGGAGAGGTAAAGAACGAAAACTTCCGGATAGAGTAAGGGTAAGATATTTATACCAGGCCGGTGAACTCGAAGGAGGCCTACGTCGCGCAACCGATCCCATATGGTCCCTTAAGACATGTAACATTAGTCGATTGGTTATGAAAGAAGGAGAGCCTATTCTTTATTATCTTCAAGATGGACCGGGTAGGGCATTTGTACGAGAAGAGTTGTTCATAGTTCCCGACGGTACAGTATTACCACCATAACCATAAGCATAGGTATTTACACCATCATTATCAATCCATCTCTTTGTATCTAAGGGGGATAATGATGTCTTGTTCATTCTTAATCCATATATCCTATGATCGTAACTTCTTAAAGAGTTCATCTCGTGTTTGAACTTTCTACCGTTAAATAATGATTCTTTATACTGTTCGTGTTTGATATGCTTTTTTACAACATACTTCTTAACACCCTTAGCTTTTCTTATCTCTCCATTATCGGACTTCTTTATAGAATACATCTTAGGTCTTAATCCTACATACTCCACTAAAGGGGTCCCAGCACATTCATCCTTCATCTTACCTAACACCTTTTTATTTACAACGCTGTGCAGTGGATTATCTTTTGGGTAATCGCTCGTGTCGTACATATCTATTTTTTCTGCCATATCTTTATACACATCCTCGGTTTGTATTTCCAACAACAAAGAATCTGTGTCGGTATATAACACCTCACATCTATCGCTGTATTGCTTCTTAAGTTCGTTGTAATAAAAGTCATACATTAAGTGTTTTGACAAGTCGAGAATACTCATACCGACGTACACCGGTCTGTTGAATTTTATATTACTCTTCTGCATATGCAACGCGGCTAAGTCGTTATCGAATATCTTGCTTCTGTTAAAAGCCGGGCTGGCTATAAGTTTCCTGAGTCTTTCTTCCTCATTAGATCTGACTAATTTAACATCAACACGCTTCCTTAGATTCTCCATAGTTTTACCAAATACCGAGTTATTCATGAGCTTATACCGATTCTTTTCGAAATCGCTGGTGGCTATCTTTCTTAAATCTGTGTTCAGCTTTATATAGGGCTCCATCCAAGGGCTTTGATCAAACTTTAGAACTCTGTGTATTTTCTTAAGTTTCATACCTAACGATAGATACAACTGGAGATTTCTGTAGTGAACTATATATTTTGTCTTATCCATCAAATTTGGTATGAGTTTTTCTACGTTAGCTAACCTACTATTACCCATCAAGGAGCGTTGATATTCCGACATCCAATCTTTATTAACCATTAATCTTTCGGGAGCTAGCGGATAACTGTTATGATCTTTATGTAACGAACTTGGATATTCCAAGTCAACTTCTAGTATGTACCCTTTATTCGCTTCGATATTATGGATATCGATATCATCGACCCATTCAAAACCACCCATGGGTAAAGGTTGACTCATAGCCCATCCGTACAAATTGTTGGCGTCGAGATATAATATGTGCGTGTTGGGTTTACTGGGATCGTATCCTTCCACTAATTTATTATTAGCCTTAGAATACCTTTTAGCTGTCATCGATATACCACCTCTTAATCCTTTCTCAATAAACAAGTGCATATCGTAATCTGTGAGTAGTTTTAGTTCTACACCGGTCTTCTTCAACAATGCATCCCACGATAGTCCTGGACTGGAATAGTACCATGCCGGGTCCAAGCCGTATTGTTTGAAACATGTCTTTCTAAATATCTCGAATATATCGGCTAGTAACAGTACATCAGTTTTTAAGTACAGATCGTGATAATCGCCTAAATTCTTACAACCTAATTTATCCCAGACTGTCAGAGCGTGTTCATAATCAGCATCTGTTATTCTAGATTCTGTTAAGTTACTATAGAATGATTCGAGGGGTGGTAATTCAGTTTCTTCGAATCTAGACCAACCATCAATATATTCGTAAGGATATACACCTTTTCTCAGCAACAAATGACGAGTTATCTTATCGGTATATTTATTTGTTATCGCGAAGTCATCGGGATTGTTCGCATTAGCTAAATTGTCCAAGGAAGATAACAGAAATTGTACGGAGTCTATGAATCTAAGCCCATTACACAAGAACGATATGTATTTTTCCATATTATTAGGAATGCATGTTAAACCACCGTCGGTCTTCGAGATAGCTTGCATAATGAGATGTGAATCGTATCCCCTAAGGTTATGAAACACAACGGGGATGGGTATTGTTTGAGAGTTCATTTTTAGGTTCAAGTTACACTCGTTATGAGCGGCTCCCCGATAATTACCCGTGACGTGGCAATGATCTCTTACGGAATCCCCATCCAGGGGTTTATTACAAATGTGACAACTCGTTGACTTCTTATGGACCCTCCAATCATCCCTCGTCATACGCATGGGTATCTTACACGATAATATTTCCCTGATTATTCTCTCTTCATTTTGTAGATATTCTAGGAACTTTCCCGCTGCATCGGGACCTCTGTAAATCACAGGAGTGTTTGTTTTCCCATCATACCTTACAACTATATATCCAAACCCACAAGGAATATGTTCTTGAGTTTTGTACGTAAAACTACTATCTTGATTATTGTGTTCAGTATTTTCTATGGGTTTGATAAGCGCTTCGAAGTCGGCGTAAATTACGTACGGTACTGGCATTTGATTACAATAATGTTCAAATTTTAATATATTTTTTCCCTCTTTAGGCATATCGATCCTGATAGCATTCTGTCCAACACCTCTACAGTCTTCTTTATGCGCTTCTAATAGATCTTGTCTGCTGTACCCATGTAGGCATCTTTCACAGAAATATTTCTTTTCTTTATGTTTTGTTTGATCGTATAGTAGCCTGTTTAAACTCTTTATCCATGTATAATGATATTTACCATCTTTTTCAATCAGAAATGAATTGATTCTGGGAATATGTTCCGGGGTAGAGCTTATCCTGTGTACAACAATTCCTTCAGAAGAATGTCCGAAAACATTTATAGCTAAATTATTTTGCTTTTCTACCTTATCAATTTGTGATATTGGTGTAGGTTCGTCTATACCATCGAAGTTGAGTCCATCGTTTTTAGGATAGCTAGAAGGTCTATCCGGATGTTTGTCTACAGGAAACAATGCAGATCTTATCATCATTCTTAAACAGTCATCGGATTTATTTTTTACGTTGATTATGGCTTTTTTCTTCTTATAATACGGGGGTAAATCTATATAAGATCCACCTTTGAAGGGCATATA